TCCAGCGCCTTGCTCCACCGCACCAGCAGCGCGGCATCGTCCTCGCTCTCCCTCCCCGCGGCCGTATTGCCTTGCTGCCGATGCAATCCCTCCCAATCCCAATCCATTCCCCAATCCCCTCCTCCTTCCCACCCGGGGGCGTCTTTTCCGCCCATGCCGCCTCTATAATGGTGATGGCCGTCTCGCTCTCTCCGCTGCTGCATCTGTTCTGCTCGAGATTGATGAGAAAAGGGGCCGCCGTCATCGTTCGCCGCCGTTCCCGCTCCCTCGTCCTCCGCCCCCGCCGCCGCCGCCGCCGCCGTTGCCGTTTCCGCAAGCCCCGCGGAGTACATGGACATGAGCCACCGACGTTTCTGGGGGGGTTGTCCGCCAGGTCGTCGATGAGGTGGCGTGTCAAACATGGAGATGATCGCAGCAGCAACGGCAGCAGCCAGAGAGAGAGGGAGGCAGCACGAAACGAAAACAGGAAAGAGGCACGGATGGAGACAGATGATCAAATCAACCGGGAACAGCCCGTGATAGAGGACGGCGAGGAAGCAGGCAGGCGGCCATGACCGACGCCACCACAATGCTGAGGGGACCGGTACGCAATGGCCTTCGATGAACTTCTCAGCGTTTCGTGTTCAGCCCATCTTGCGGTAAAGGCCGGCCAAGAGAGGGTAGGAGTACGCTATACGAGCTACCATCGATAGAGAGAACAGCGAGAAACTGAGCCGCGGTTGGTGTAGGGCGGACCTGTGACGTCGTGTTCAACGCCATGTCGAGCCGCCACAGCAGCAACGGCTAAGCGCAGCTGTCACATCTACAAGGGAACGCGGGGAGCTAAAACCAAATAATGTGCTATGATATATACCCGATTCCCGCCGCGTCCACTTCATTCCACCTCGCCCCCCCAAGACGAAGGAGGACCGGCGCATACATCGACTCCACGCATACACATCCCTGCGGGGTTGCCAGACGTCGACTCGACGTTCGCTACCTGCAAGCCCCTAACCCGCGTGGATACACCACCGAAGAACGCTATTAAAACGCTAACAACCACCATGAGCGTATTCTGTTTGGGAACGTTTACCCGACGCTTCATCCTAGCGGCGCGGCACTCCTCCCTCACGAGCTTGGAGTAGTGGAACCCACCACCCCCACCGCCGCCACCAGGTCGAAGTCCGTCCCCGCCCTCGCCCCCGCTCCCGCTTCGCGAGGCGTGCTTCCTGGCCGTGTCGATCGTCACCGGATCGTCCTCGGCGGACGACAGCGCCTTGATGGTGATTGGCCGCCAGCCGTTGTTCTCCTGGCGCCGGTACCAGTTCTTGGTCCCCTACGTAGTCCAGCAACGACAGACAGCCCAACACAGCTCTTCGATGCGCATCTAACATACATTAAACACCACGCATATACAGACAGAACGGTAGGTCCACGAAGCGCCTGCCTGCTGCTGTTTTCGCAAGGAAGGGTGGTTATAGGCATCCTGCCCTGGAGCGGACGGGCGCAGATCTGGGCTCCGTTGCCTCGCTGGAGAAATTCGACCACTTTTGACGACGCCTGCACCTCCTTCGAATTCATTCACCCTTACTGTTGTTCCTTCTCCCGCCAGATGCAACCAACCGTAAATGTTCGCCCTCTTCCTGTTTGCGTATTGTTCGCCATCCCTTCGTACTAAGACATTGCGGCTTGTTCCTGCCCCCCCGTCCATTTCTCAATTCTGAACGCTTTTTCGCCATCGCTCGCCCTTGTTTGAGACCGCACCGGCCTATTTTTTCTCATTAGACTCGTCTCTGCACCTCACGCCGTGTTTGCTAGAGGAGGGTGGGTGGGTGGGGATCGACGTGGACACACCTGCGGTCCCGTCCGCTTGACGGCCGTCCCGAAGTAGGAAGCACCGACCCTTATCTGGCCAGCTTTAGGGTTCTCGGGGTATCCTGTCATGGGTGGCTGCCACCCAAAAGTATCATTTCGGAGGGTATATATATGCGCGCGTGGGGGGGAGGGGGAGAGATCTATCTTCCAAATTTGTAAAGCATACTCCCTGTCGAAGTCTTAGAGTTGTGGCGTTGGCACTTCTTCTAGGTCAGCGGGCGGGGGGGCTAAGGGGAGAGGGTTGGGGGAGGCAACCGAGACCCGGTGGATAATCGTGTTATTTCGGTGCAAATAGAGTGGCCATGATAACTCGTGCAAGAATTGTTCGGCGCACAGAGATTCTCTCAGTGATTTTATTTAGGTCGGTGCCTTTGGTGTTGGTTCCAACCACTTCACTGGCCCAGGGGTAGTCAGTCGGCAGAGTACTGATCTACGGGGCCTCCGGGGGCTACGAAAATGTTTCGGACATGATGGACATGAAGAGTGAGGTTGTTCTCGCCCCCCCCACGTCTCTCGCTCGACAATCCCGCTACTCAAACAAACCGGCAAGCAACATTTTTTGAGTCACTCCTCTTGTGTGCAAGACGCTCTCCGACCGGACATGAGCACAACAAGGGGCCTTAGATTAGTCGCATCTTGAGGCCAAAATTGATGCTTGTTCCGAAGGGTGGAATTTCTAGACTATGTGTTGACATGCTTCACACAACAGCGCTAGTGTCGTAAGGAAGTGTTCTGCGCTGCACGACTTTCGTGTTTAGTACTGGTATGGTTGCCTCTTGCCCCATCTCAAACCCGTTCTCTTCCTTACTATATTCCGTGCTCGTTGTAAGGATGCGCATCAAGCCCGTCAGAATGGGGACCACCAACCAATATCAACCATTTCGTGATGCCCCCCCCCCGTGCACGGAGGAGGCGTGAAGGCAACGAAAACAACAACGACGGCGGCGGCGATGACAACCACCACAACAACAACAGCAACAACAGAAACAACAACATCATCATCATCATCAACAACAACAACATCATCATCATCATCATCATCATCAACAACATCATCATCATCATCAACAACATCATCATCATCATCAACAACAACAGCAACAACAGAAACAACAACATCATCATCATCATCAACAACATCATCATCATCATCAACAACAACAGCAACAACAGAAACAACAACATCATCATCATCATCAACAACAACAACATCATCATCATCATCAACAACATCATCATCATCATCAACAACAACAGCAACAACAGAAACAACAACATCATCATCATCATCAACAACAACAACATCATCATCATCATCAACAACAACAGCAACAACAGAAACAACAACAACAACAACAACAACAACAACAACCGCAGCGGCAGCAAACTACAAACAAACGCCCCCTCCTGTTTCCTCACGTGATTCCATCGATCCGCCGGAGTGTCCTTAGCGTCCTCTGAGTAAGCCCTGGGTGCGAAAGCGCCAATGTCGGCGACCGGCTGATGCGTGTACACCTATGGTGAAAACGCCGGCAGGAATTAGTCAGTAGACTACAGTAGTAGTAGCCCTGTTGCTGTGATTATGGCAATCGTCGTCAACGTTGTCGTTGCTATTTCACACATCGAGACTCTTTCGCCTGCTCAAAATGCAAGCCTCGTGCTAGGTATGTGCTAGGCACGGGTTTGTGTGTGGGGAGAACGACTACACCAACCTGAAAACCAAAGGAAGACTGGAACTCTGACGAACAACGATGCTCGATGGGTGGGCGAACCTTGTAGTAAATGGAAGGCGGGAACGTGTAACCGCCGAGGCGAAACCGAACGTGCACGCCCGCGGCGCGGTCGAATAGCGCCGCTTCCCCGGGGTTGATGGCCCTTAGCAAAAGGCGAGGGTCTCCGCCGAGGCGAAAATCGATGACGTTCCTGCGACAGAGATCGAAGGACATGACACATACATGCACATCAAACTACGTACACGCAGACCTCGAAGAAAATCTCGGAGGGAGGTGCGGTGTGCGTCAAGCCCAAACATTGTTTTTGCCTTGTCTGCCGACCAAAAACGGGCATCGTTCCCACAGATACTGCCATCATTGGCAACAAGCAAGAAGCAAGAGTAACACAAACAACCCTAGACACGAGAGGGTGAGAGCGAAAACCCAGAACGGGACCCAACGCCTCCCTTCAGACAACGGAGAGGAACCTCACCGGTAGTAGCGGTAAATGCTCTTGGAGACACGACTCCGCCAGCAGGTCTGGATAGTCTTGGCTGCGCAGCTTTCCAAAGACGCCGTCAGCATTCCCCCCGACTGCTGCCTTAAATACGGTTCACGACGTACAGTGCGCCCAATCGCATAAGAAATTGGCAGTTGGGAAAGTAGGCCTAAGCCAATCCGACTTTTAAGACGTGCACCTTAAGAAGGAAGCGGTCGGAAGAAAATCTACTATTATAGAACCCAATACACAGTACAGGTATGTATACGATCGTCGATGTAGGGCTGCCCCGGTTGCCAGAAACTGTTTGGTGGTGATGCTGTCGTCGGGGGATGTCGTGGTGGCACTGAAGAATGCGTGTGTGAACAGTATTGTTTAAAGCTGGTTTTTCGATTTTGAGGTAGGGGGAACACGTTGTGGGTTAAACGGACATTCAGCTTACATTGCTACTGCCGATGAAACAATCAAGCGAGGTGTGGTGGAAGCATTCGTTCGTCATCTGTCTCGTAGTTGTCTTCAACGGTTAAAGCCAATATATATAGAGCGATGACGTGCATGGGCTGGCTCGAGTGGCTCGCTTTGCCTTGTGTTGTTTTTTGTGTTGGTCTGTTGGTTTGTTTGTTGTTTGGTCGCTCAGGCGTGTGTCTTTCTCTGTCCGTGTCTTTCTCTTTCACTTTGCTTCTCTCCATCTGCTCGATTCCTTTCTTTTTCATTTTCATTTTTTCTTTTTTCTTTCTTCTTTTTCCCTTTCTCTTTCTCTTTCTCTTTCTCTTTCTTTTTCTTTTTACTTTTTCTATCTTTTTCCAATCTAGGGTCACCTCGCATAGAGTGCAGAGAGGCGAGCGGAATGGCCTAGACTATCTGTCGCTGACTTTCATTGGCTTGCGGACCCTTCGGGTCCATTTTATTTTCGTATACCTTTTTTTGGGTAAGTTTGCCTGTGACCACGGGAATCGACCCCGTCAAGTGTTAGACTAGTATAGTACAGACAGAAGAAGGTATGAGCAGAGAGAACGGAACGGTTTTTTAATGTGAAGACAACAACAACATATATAATCCGCGGGCTATCGAAAGGGTTCAGGCTGCTCCTATTCTGGACGGCCGGCCTCCTCCACCGCCCGCGCCCAGTACACGGTCCTCTACCACCGCCGAAAAAACCGGTTTGCAACTCACCTGTTGGCGGAGCACTCCCCGTCCTCTTGAAGCAGAGAGCTTCCGCGCTCCAAAGAGCTAAGGCATTCGGCGGACACTATCTCCCTAAGACCGAAGAAGGAAAATAAGATAAGGAAGCGTGCCCGGTTTATTTCACTGAGAGTGACTCCTGGCGTTTGCCCGCCGTTCAGCGCGGTCGACGTCACTTGTCTAGGGGGGCACACACACAGAACAACGTTGATACTGTAAGGCACGACAACAACCACACGTTTTTATTGGTGTTCTCTTGAGCTCCATTGGGCCTACAGAACGGTTGAGACATCTTCGATAACTTCCTCCTTTTCTCTGGTTATATCTAACGCTTTGGTCACCGGGCGAGCGCGGTTGATTCGAACGAACGAGGCAAGCACTCACATCGGTATGTATCACGATTTCGAAGCATTTTCGTGGCGGAAAGACTGGCTTACTTCCTATTTGTCAACCGGTGAACACGCCTGATGGTGGGCGGCCTATGCAAAGACAAACCAACGAGAACACGCACAAGTCGTGGGCCGCGCTTTACGGCAGGGTGCACCCCGGTACTTGTTGGAATCTGTACTTCAATTTGGTAGTGCTTGCGAATCACGCACGATTCTATTTCTGTTCTCCCCAAGCGCATCGGTGGGGGTGCAACAGCAACAACAATGGTACATGACACTCACTCCACATCCACATACAGTGAACACCGGTCCACAGACGAATATTCGACGGTTTCGTCAGTGCAAACGGTACCTTGTGCTCATGTCGTAGATAGTGTTCTGCTGGTAGTTCCTCCACGCGTACTGGATCTGAAGAGCGGCCAACCCATACAGAGGGAACTTGAGGTAGCGGAACCTAAACCTGAGTTCCGTCCAAGGAAAGGAAGACGAGCGAAGCTGTCCAGCTAATCACCAGACACAACGAGCAGATGCCGATTCGGAATTACAACGACAACATTGAACACGTCGCAACACCTACACATTCACACACTACAGCGGTCAATCAAGATTTTGACCAATTCTCGCCAATTTTTCGTCAGCGTTGGGTTGGACTTGATAGGTTCGGGTCGATTTGGTGGTGCAGGATACCGGGCAGAAGTTGCACAAGCTCGCTGGACGAGGCAAAGACAGCGTTCCACTGACGGAAGGAAGAAGAGTAACACTGCTGTAAGTTATCGTACTCTATTTCTGAGGGTTTTGTCTTTTGTGTCCAGCATTTGGCTTCCACTCGAACAGGGGATGAACACGGTCACGCGGGCAGACCGTTTTCACGCTGGTACGTTCGTCGTCGCATAAAAAGGAGGTGGGTTGACCCCCACACGCTAGGGGCTTTCAGCTTGGTAAACGAACAACGCATCGGCGACCCCGTCATGCCCGACGGCAGTGGGCATGTTGCCTGCGTTACATACCTGCTCTCTCGGGCCGGTTCTTGCGAGATACTTGGTGCTTCAAATCATCTCGGGAAGATTCCGAACATCGTAATCTAGTCAATCGATTGTCAGTTGAGATTTAGCCCCACCTCAGCGCATGTTGTCGCCGTTCATTGGTGGCCTGCGTTTTCAAGACACGCACCCACCTACGCGACCACGAACCTGGCATCAACCATTCGCCACCAAGCTTGTATCCTGCGTCCACACCACTCGGAATACCCCCCACCCGCCTCTCTGATATCGCCACCGCCGCCGCTTCCATGCGCCGCTTCGTCTTCCGCCACATGGCGGAGATATTTATCCAGCTGCCGGGTACTGCCGCCGGCACGAGAACGCCCGCGACCGCTGCCCCTCCTCCGCGTCGCCGTGTCCGCCTCGGTTTTGGCCCCCGAGCTACGACCCCCAGCACGGTTGGTAGTGCCATGTCGGGCGACGCTCCTGTTCGCGATGAATCCTCGAACATGGCATTGTATCTGCGCTTATTCGTGCGTTTGCGAGGTACCGATCGGCGGCTGTTTGGATAAAATTTTTAGTCGGTAGGTCTCTTCCGAGCAGACTACAGTAAGTATTTCTGCCGCATGCTTTGCTACAATATCGAGTCGGGAGTGCGCAGGGTAACAAACTATGAACGTAACAATGTGCGTGTTAAACTCTGCGTCTGCTTCGTCAAACATGTGCACATGAGGAGCACGTGTGGTACATCGTGCTCTGCTTCTCTCACTTGAACGGCCGCGAGGTGGTGGGCGGCGACAGGGCTTGTCCACGGAGCGGCGACGATTGCCCTCCGCGAAGACCTCGGCTTGCGTGCGAACACGCTTCGCCACGGCCTCCCTCTTTGCCCCTTCCACCCGGAACGGGATACGGAAGAATTTGGAATGTAGGCTGTTGATGCTGCCGTTGTTCGTTGCGTACCTGCACGCTGGTCGTGAGCTGGTAGCTGGTATGGTACTTCTTCTGCCGTCGGAACACAGCCGTAACTATCCCCGCCAATACCATCGCCGTCAGAGACGCCGCGGCTGGTAGCCCAGGCCTGATCGGACGAAACACTGCTGAAGAGGCTCTCTCGAACCCTAAGTTCCTCTGGTGACAACATGATCTACAGATCTGTGCGCTTGTAATGGTCAGTCCCCTCCGGCAGTTCGTCGGTCAACGCGCCGGCCGCGGCTTTCGTCGCCGAGGTTACGACCGCCCTCTGTGTTGTGCTCGCCCGCCTTCCAACAACGCAACGCCCCACTGGGAGTTAGTTCCGCCGTCTCATCTTTGTCTTGTGAAACAAAGTACAGCCATAGAGAACATAGAGCGACAGCAGCGTGGTGATCGAGCGCGGGCGTTCGCGCGCGTGACCATATTTTACTCGCTGCGCTTTTTTTTCGCTCGCCGCAGCCGTTTCGTTTTTCTACCCCACGGAGCCCCTCCCGCCGCATCCCCCCCCTCCTCCTTGGTTTCGAACACGACGACACGACGAGCACGCGAGGTGATTCGTCCACAGCACACACAGCCAACATGTTTGGTTGACTCGTATTTTTGGCCCCAAAGAGCGAGAGCCAGGGCTCGGAGGGCGTAGGACTAGCAGTCCGTAGGCGCTCTCTTCGATCGTGTGGTTAAGAGGCGTGTGAGTGGAGAGGGGCAGAGCGCGCCATTAGCCGAAAAGTGGACACCTGTCGACGATAAGGGAGGTGAGTGAGTTCAAAGGAGATGCAGCGAGCAGCTTTACACAGGAGCCACCGCGACCCCTTTGTTTTTCGTGGAGCGACAGCATCTGCCTGGCATATTCGCTTGGAAAATGATACGGATGAACGTGCGCTGGGGGTTGGCTTGGGATTTCGACCCACCAGGCTGGTAGACCGTGCATATTTCTGCTACGTATCATCGTCGTTCGCTGCCCTTGACCATTTCACCCAGCCGCCCCCCCGAACCCTTCGCGCAAGTTGCTTCGCGCCATATATACTGCTGCTGCTGTATTATTAGATAGCATTTCTCTCAACGCGCCCCTTTTGTTGCTCCGTGTGGATTTGTTTGTGTGTCATGTTGATGTACGAGACCAGCAATGTTTGTCTCTTGGACCCTTGTTGCATGTATTTGGTGGAGGTCTTGTACCCCACTCTGAGTGCGGTTGATCGGCGAATCAGACGCCACTCATAGTGGTCTCGTTTTGAAATGAATCCATATCTTCACCCACTGACGGCGAGGAGGTTATTACTATTGTAGTTACCCCGATTGGCTCCGTTCTCACAAGTTCTCGCCTGCAGTACTGCTGTAGATTTTTTTTTAGGCCGGGCGCACGCATGTAGAGCAAGGTATGTACAACCTCTGTGCTTGGCACGGACTGCTGGCTCTATTCGCAAGCCTATTGTCTTTCCCAGCACACACATCAGACGCAACAATATGCTGCGGTTCCAAGTACTCTGTGGCTCCGTAGGCTACGTTGCGCATGAAGTATGACAGATGGCTTGCTGCCGAAGCGGCGGAGAGTCGTTTCTTTCCGCGTGGGACAAGTTCAATGCGCGCACGCAAGTCAAGCGAGTTCTACCTACATACCGGCTTTTGTCCCTCTCGTGCACGGTGGACAGACTGCTGCCGTGTGTCGGCGGTCAGCAAGCTGTATGCATACTGCTTTGCGCGGTTGATTTTTTTTTTGTGGACGCGGACAACCAATCTTGGTTTTGACTTATTTTGAAAACCAACGAAAAAGTACTACTTATTGCAACCATGCATGAGATACGAAAACCAGTTACGCAGAGAGCTGCGGCCACGAATAAGTCGGCGACTGTTGCACGGAGCGCGGCATCCACCAGCATTTCACGCAGTCCACCTCCGCACACCCTTCTCTGAAAACCTAACAAACAAGCCAACCAAATACTACTACAAGTAGTTGATTTCTACGGGCCAACGTTGACACTTTGCCCGCGAGACAATCGGACGTGTCTTTTGTTCTGGGTCTCCCACTCTCTCCTTATCATGTATTCGTCCGTCCGACGGACGCAACAAACTAACTCACGGCTGATGACTCCCTGCAGCTCTTCGTAGCTATTATTAATAGCGTATTCGACACAAGATAACACGTCCCTTGGACCGATTTTCAAAGCTCGACTACTCCACGACGAGGAGGAAACGTAAACGGAACGATACATTTTCGGAAAGCTCTCGATGAGACGGCTTCAACGCCCCCGTTTTTCGGCGCTGTGACTCTTTCTGCTGTTGAGAAAGCAAGCTTTGAAAATCAGTCCAGGGGGTGTGTTGTCTTGTGTCGTATTTCGTATACGGAGTTGGTTCCTGGAACACCTTCTAGTCGCCAGGGCCAGGGGTTCGAATCCCGGCGTAAACGAGCTTTTCTTGCATAGTGAGTTATTCTCTCGCTTCCGTTCCTGGTCTGGGTGGAAAGCGCTGGTACGTGTCTACATAGAGGAAAGACAGCGGTGCTGCACTCTTCTCGCATTAAAAATCGAAGACAAAGTACCGCAGGAGGGGTGGGGCGTCAGGGAGAGGAACCCTTCTGTGTGACCAGGGGTCGGAGTACACGGCACACGTGTTGTGAGCGCTGATTTGAAGGGAAAACAACAACAAAAGAAAAAGCAGCCGATACGGCAGGTGCTCAATAAGGATCTTTGTGTTGTATGAGTCCCACGCTTGTATACTCTTTATCTGTAGAGGAGGGGCATCAATTAGCACCTAGGGCGTGCCCGCACGCTCCGATCTGCCTTTGGAACTGTATTGCTGCTGCGCTGTCGAAGGCTGTAGCTGCGGTCCGTAGCGTCGGCAATTCTGATTGCACTACACTCATATTCCACGGCTGCACTCATTGTCAAAGATCCAATCTCCTGGATAGTACTTCGAAGCAGTGTTCAGCAGTATTATAGCTCATACCACTGTAGCTGCTGATCCAATCTCCTGAAGAATAGGTGTGCAGCAATATTGCAGCTCACACCGCTGTAGCTGCCTTGAATTACCCGCAGTTCAGGGGACTGGGACTCGTGGTGGCAAGCACAATCGTGACGCATGTTTGGCTTGGATCCAGAATTTCAGAGTTTTTTTACACAGTGGCAAGCCTTCAATATCACAGCCCCAGCCGCAGGTCTGAGCGTGCCGGCACGCACGTCGCCTTTCTGCCATGATTTCTATCGGCGTGAAGTAGTGCAGTACCAGTTAAGGGGAGGACTCCTAATGGTGGAAGATCGTGATCGATCTTTCAGTCCCAACTCATCTTGGAAATTTGCCGCCTTGGTCAGCGTCCCCTCAAATATCGTTCATCGCATGAAATTGCGTTTCCGCACCGGGGGTCGGCGAGATGGCACCGGGGTGCGATGAAATACACCTCTTCCATCTCAAATTCCGAGATGCTTAGCCAATTGCTCTGGGGCCCTCGTTCGGGTGTCAAAGCCGTCACGCGCAAGAAGTAATACATTTAACACAGTGTAGTAGAAGCCACGTGACCGCACGTGATTCCTTGTCATCGGTACCCCACATTCATAAAGCAAGAATTTAGAGTAGCAGAGGCTTGCGAGTTGTACTCCGTGGCAATAATTGGAGTTACCAGAAGTATGCCCACAACCAACGAATTTCAGCAATATCTGTTGATTCTTCATTTTCCAGCTGTTCTGACGATGGGCGCATGAACACACCTCGTGGCTTCAATGAAAGTGTTGTGCGTCTTATTAAAACTGCGATGACAAAAACTTAATACCTTGGACAAGATGTGATCGCCCAATAACAAGCGCGTCCCGACCAATGCCCTTGATCGCCAGGAAAGGCCTCCTCTGATTCTCAACGGCGCGGCTACGGCACCATGGTGTACACGATAACCCTGACGAACCCGCTCGCCAGCGGCCACGACGGCAGCTGGGAGTTCGACTTGCTCATGGAATGCGTGGTCGGGACTCTCCCGGCAGATTCCACGCCATCACCGCAGGGCAACGGACCCGTTCCGACCCAGATTGTTGAGGCTGTAGCAGACAGCAGTGATGGCGATTGTGGTGGTAGCGATCACGACACTGATGGCGGTGTTGGCGGGCCCACTGGGGGAAGCGGTGGCGGGGGAGGGGCGTCGGGTGTCGAGAGAGATTCCCCGCCGCCACCGCCTTCCATCGACGGCGGCGGCACCAAGGATTTAGTCGTGAGCGATGATGAGGTCGTGAGTGACGATGACGTCGTGAGTGACGATGATGTCGTCAGCGACGATGATGTCGTCAGCGACGATGATGTCGTCAGCGACGATGACAACGATTCAGAAGGCTTTATGAAGAAGCAGGAGGCTCAAAGCGCCCCGCAGCAGCTGGCGCGCCAGCAGCAGCAACCCGAGGCCGACGTGGGCGGCGGTGATGGTACCGTTGGGGAAGCGTTGGAGAACGAGGGAGCAATGGATGTATCTGAGGACAATTTGGAAGACGGCAACGACAAAAATGTTCGTGATGGTGGTCACCCTCTCGCGGAAAGCACGCAGCCGGCGGCGGTCGCGACTCGGTCGACTGACGGTGGTGATGGTGTCACTGATAACAGCAAGAGAGCGGTCGAGGGGACAGAGAAGTGGAAGGGGGATGGAGGCACACCGGTTCCCTCGTCCCAGCAAATAGACAGTTCTGGATCCCATTCTGCATCGAAAGACACCCAGGAAGCAGCAGCAACGGCAACAGCAACAGCTAACAAGCGGGCTGAAGCAGAGAAGCAGCAGCAGCAGCAGGTGCCGTCGCCGTCCTTGCTGCCCAGCAAAGAAGAAGACTCTAGCGAAGACGAGACGATCGAGATGGCCGTCTCTAATCGCGAGGTGCAGCCGCCCGTGCCTGCCGTCATGCCAACACCGGAGCTGGACCTTGCTCTCAACGGAGGAGAGCGCCCGTTGGCGGCGACGTCTGCGCCGAGATCCCCGACTGCTGTGTCCGTTCGATCTTCGATCGGCAGTATCATATCGCTGGATTCGACCGGGAACGATAGTGACAATGTGGTCGGTGGTTCGGGGGAGGACTCGTGGAGCAGCAGCGACGGGGAGACGGAGGACGATGACAGCGACGATTACGAGCCGGACATTCTCCCGCCGCCGTGCCACATGTTGCACCGCCACCGCAAGACATACAAGAATGCGCTCTGCGAAGATTGCTACATGGAACACGTGCGTATTTTGTCTATGTTCGGCGTATCTTGGCTGCATGCCTCCATGTCTCCATACCGCGCCTATGCTTTGTTTTTAAATTTTGCGCGATCGGCATCACGTTTTTCTAACGTATGGAAGCGTTTTCAGCGACGGTGCACGTCCAATGTTGTTCGCGCACGGGGTACTTGGACGCATAATTGATTCCCCGCGGGGCCCCTTTGCTTATTTTGAGAATTAGGCTACGTTTGTTCCAGTTTTCGATGCAGCATTTCGTTTTTGCTCGATATGATATGCAACACTATGGTATGATATGTCAAACTACTTGCATTTTCGAAACACGGTCATCCATGCCGTAGGCGTATGGGGCTGGGTGGCAACTGCGGGACAATTTGACACCCGTGAGCGTGATGCGTGCAAGAATTAGATCAGGACCAAGAGAGCTACATGCGGTTTATACCTATTGAGGTATCCAGGCTCTGTCTTAGTTTGCAAGCTACCCTCTGTGTAAGCTGAGCACAAGTGTTTCTCATTTATCGTGCCCCGCGCTAACTATCAAATGTGCGACCCTCACAGGCCGAAGCCCTGCGAAAGGCGAAGCTAGACGTATCGGATATGGACTCTGACGCTGCAGGACGTAGTGAAAACGCCACTCGTCGACGCCGTCGAAAGAGGGAGAAGGCGCACGGCAGCAGCAGCACAGGTGTCGGCGGAAAACGATCGAGGAAAACGCGTGGTTCGAGCAACGAGAGCACCGGTAGCTCCAGCGACGACCGCAAGAAGAGACGCAGAGTGGCAGGGGAGGTGAAGTCCGCTCTCCCTGGCTCCGCTCCCTCGCCAGGGCGGCGGCTCGTGAAACCTCACCAGAAGAAGGCCAAGAAGCTCGTGACCGGCGGAGACGACAGGAAGTCAGCCGCCACTAGATTGTTGGAGGACACGTCCTCTGGCGAAAGCGACGGTATCGGTGATGACGAGAGGGACGTTGTGGTGCAAAGCAACAAGGGCAAGAACAAGAGACTGGCTGAGAGCGTTCAAGACAACCAGAGGGCAACCCCCCCCCCCGGAAAACAAAAGCAAGCCAGCAAAGGCGGAGGTAGCGGAGGGGGTGGGGATTTGCTGGGCGCGCTTATTGAGAACCCTGCTCAAACGCGGAGGAAAACGAGTTCTTCCGCGACACCATCGGCGGTCGCTCGGCAACCCAAGAGCCGCCCGCATCTCGTCAAGCAGCGTTCGGCAGATGCCGTGCGCATTGGCGGATCGGTCACTGGCTCTGACGGAGGCTCCGACCCTCAACTAGCGCGAGCGGTGTCGCTTGACACTGCCACCTCCTTGTCTTTGACACAGTACAAGACGGGTGGGGCTCGAAGAACAGATGCACCTGAAGGTATCCCGGCATCATCGTCGTCGTACAAAATTCCGATGAAGGCTTCGAATGGCGTCAAGGCAGCAGGAGGAGCGCCTAAGGACGTGTTGAGTAAGAAGCGTGACCAAGACGTCCGGCAGCGCTCGAAGACCCCGGTTCGTGAACACAGCAGCGGCACCATCAGCAATAGTAACAACACCAGCAGTGCAGCGAAGGAGGCACCCGCGCCCGTACCGGCAGTGTCGAGTAGGATGAAGGCGCAGTATGACAAGGTGCCCAACTTGGAAGGAGTCCGCCGCAAGAAATCCAATGGAAAATTCTTCGTATGGGTTGGTGACCAGCCGCTCGACGGGATAGAATACCCAAGGTGAGACAAATCGCCACTGATCACGAGGTTCTAGCCGTTTGTCCCGACGCGTTGTTGTCAACCACGTGTGTGTTCTCACGAATTTGTTGTGCCGGAACGATGGTTGGCGGCAGTCTTGAGGGCGGCAGCCTGGTGGGATATTGGGCCTCCTCACCCAGTTTCCCAGGTTTCGCCCGAGCGTTGTAAAGCGTGATAACCCACTGTTTTGTGTGCACCGATGTGGTTATTGTACACCAATCGAAATGGTGCAGTCGAGCCGAGAGAAACTGAAGCGACGGGAAACGGTTCAGACCACGGAAGGCAATCACTACCCTCGGCCGCAGCAACAGGCGGATCATTTTTATGCCCAACGTTGCAATCAAAGATCGATGAACGATCCATCGGGGTCCGGACAGGCTCTTGAGTGTTTTTGGATGCTGGCGGACCCCGGACGGACATACTACGGATTTGCTTCAGGATGAGAGCATGTGCCATGTTGTTCACTCTTTTTCGTCGTGGCCGCATGTCCCTCTCTCGCCGTTTGTGTAACTTGTGTGTGATATCTGCTCTTGAAACAGCGCCGAGGAATGTGCCAAAGCGTACCACCGGCTGCACCCTCCAAGCTCTTCTCGGGGACCCCAAAAAACGTGAGTGTTTGACGGTTACCGCGAGATACATTTTGCAGTTTTGACCGCACATCGAGACAGCCATGAATGGTTTGTCGCCTTCGATACGACTTCGCAATGCGTTTAGTGCCTGTGCCCTCGAAGAAGAAGTTTGTAGTGTCACACGACCAGGTCTCCGTTCACCTTCAACACGCGTTACCCGTAAAGCTTCGCGTCAGTTCAGGTCACTCCTGCTGCATGAAGTTGTGCCGATTGTCTTGACCCTGGTATCCATCGTGCATGCCCCTCCCAAACCAATTCATTCGTGGCAGGCCTAAGCTGAATACTAGCGGCGGAAAGGCTCCAACACACGTCGAGAGCCAAGGCCTTACGCCTCTCTGTCCTGAGCGAGGGTCGCGTATCGCAAAGGGGACATTGAAGTCTGGGTACAACAAGCTTCCATTTTTTGCGCCGAAAGAGGCACGTGATCGGGCGTCAGGAAAGAAGCCTCCTGCGGCAGAGCGAGAACAGAAGGCCAAGGAAGCAGCAGTGGCTAGACGACGGGCTCCCAGCACGCCGGCACCTCGGAAACATCAACATGGGGCGGCAGCAGCGTTGGCGTTGATCGGCACGCCAAACTCTGGGCCTCCGGGCAGGCCCAATGCGAAGCGCGAGCCTCTTCCGCTCGTTGCTGGCTTTGACAAACCGCGGAACTCCAAGATTCGCTGGTCGTCGCCGATAAAGAACGACGAGGATCTGAACGGTAGGCGCAAGCTCCCGCCTGCATCAGCACTTCCGGGCCGGTCGGGGTTACGAGGAGGACGTGCAGGAAGGCCGGTGCCCGACACGCGACAAGGCTGCGCACAGACCGGTCTTTCCGGTGAGTTTTCGTCGAGCGAGGAGGACCCGGAGGATCAGGAGACAGGAGAGGTTGCAACTGAGGGATCCGAACTGGCGCGGTTGTCTGCCGCCGAAGCAGCAGCGCCGGTGAATGGGTACCCTCTCGAACGCACGCCGGACTCCGGTGCCAGTCCCGAGAACAATGAGCTCGGGAAGATTCGCGTCCCGCCACAAGGGGCCGTGGTGCCGACGGCGACAGTAGTCTCGACTGCGTCGGTTTCAGCAGGACCTCCTAGCCTGCCCGATGGTGGACGCGATCGTGGGCCAGGTGAAACTTCAAAAGCGGCATCTGGCCGTTGCGCATCAGGAAGCAGCGATCCTGAAGAACCTGACGCTGCAGACACAGCAACGCCCTCTTGCGATGATCGTGTTCGGGAACGTCAACGCAACACGGCGGCTGACAATGCACAGGGAGGAAATCCTAGTTTGCAGTCCGCGGAGTGTGTTGAGGAGAACCTGGACGAGGAACAAGGGAGGGAGCTGATGATGAGTATGATGGCGGGCGGCCCTGGGGAGCGAGGGCAGACGCCGACGACGAACATGGTGGCCGACGGCCCCGTCTCGGAAGAGGATGAGGCGGATCTTGGAGGCGAAGAAGAGCAAGGGAGGGAGCTGATGATGAGAATGTTTTCCGGCGGCGACCCTGCGGCGGTATCTCCCCCCCCGACGGAAGTAGAGGATTCGGTTCCCCCTTCGCCCCAGACCCCTCAATCTGACCACGATGGCCACATTAGTAGCAGCAGTGGTGAAAATGAGGGTGATGAAGCGATGTCTTTCGCAGAGGAACTTCCACCTCCCGTCACTACGGTCGCTTGGAGGACCCCGAAAAAGACTGTAGTGGGCGGCGGCGGCGGCGGCGGCGGCGGCGGCGGTGGCCGTACCGGCAACAGCCCATCTTGTGATTCAGACCACCTCACCGCCAGCGTCGCCACAACAGCGCACAAGCCTAAGTTGTCATTGAGGAGCTTTACCAGGTTTTCAGACAGTGGTGCTGCCCCCGCTGCGCCTGAAGCTGCAGTCACGGCGCCGTTTCCTATTTCGTACGAACGACCGCCACAACTTCCGATCGACCACGATACACATGGTCAACTCTTGGCGGACGCTCCCACTGTGCCCTTGCCGCCGAACCCTCCACGTGCTTCTAATAGCACAGTCCGGCAAGTCGTTTGGCGAAATCCTCGGCAGACGGCAGCGGTTTCATCGAGTTATCCGGAGGCACAGCAGGACAACGAAGTACCGCATTCAGCTTGCCAGCCCGATCTTCCTCCGGAGGTTGCTGTACGGCCAGGAGCAGACGCCATGCACCCCCCAGCGGTTCCGGCCGTATCGTTGGAGACGCCGCCAATTTCGTGGCGAACTCCAGGCCGTTCGGGCGGTGTTGCAAGCCGTTTGGACAATGTCTCATCTTGTTCCGTGCCTCAGGAGGCACGACGGCACGAGAAGTTGCGGGCCGCATCGTCCTCTCCCCTTTTGTCTTCATCGTCACGTGTCGACGTGGAATCCAATCGTAGCGTCGAGCAGGCCGAGCCACTGGACCGAGGAATCCGTGTCCTGCCACCTTTTGGCTGGTGCCGGCAGCCCAACGAGAGGCACAGCATCCCTCCGAACCAACTCGAATCCCTGCCAAGCAATGCCGTGCGTCCGACGGCCACGAGCGAGGCGGTGGCGATGCGACAGCGTCGGGAGGAGGATCACCGACCGAATGGGCGCCGGCCGTCGGTGAGCGGGGAGCACGCCAGACGCGCCGATGAGGGTCTGTCGAGAAGCATGAGCTCTAGGTCAACCCCCCGGGAGAGAAGCAGCAGCAGCAGCAGCAGAAGTAGCAACTCCAGGCAACGGAGACCTGATTACACCGCCAGAGAGGAATATCGTAGTCACCGTGAAGGTCGCAGCCGATGGGACGAGCGCGATGGGTACGACCACGGAAATCAGGGTTCTTCGCGTTTGAGCAGCAGCCAGTATACGGGCGTGGGCGGACGCATGGTGGGGTACCACGGCGGCGATAGCGGTGGCCTCCGTGACGACGTTAGTCGTCATGCCAGGGGTGGAAGATATATGGGCGGTGGTGTTGGCGGCGGCGGCGGCGGCCGTGGCGGCGGCGGCCGTGGCTACGGCCACAACAGGGACGGCCCCAGCAGGGACCCGTTCGGCAGGGACGATAGGAATGAGGGAAGAGGCGATGGCCCTGGCTTCAGCACCTACCGGGGGAGCAACTGGGGTGGTGACGGTGGTTGTGGTCGGGGACGTGGTCGTGATCATGGCTCGGTAGACTGGCGACATGGGCGCGACCATCACAGATCAGAGGGCCGTTATGGGCGCTCGAGGTCACCTCAACGGTGAGTATCGGGACGTGGATCCGGTGCTATGTTCCGATGGAAGCTTCGGTTCGACATAGGTTGGATTGTTCCTGTTCACTATCGGAGATACCGAAGACATCTCCTGTAGTTCGTTTTGGGTTGTCGTTTCGATATCCCCTGCTTTATCGTGCGTGCGTCTAATCCGTTGCGCCTCGCTCCGTGTTTTTGTTGTTTCCTGCATTTGTTTGCACAGGGATAGATGGACCTGACAGGTTCAGAACCCAATTTGTTCGGCTGCGCACCTGCGTTAGGTTGCTTGGTTATTTTTTTCAACTGCGCCCAACACTACCATCCCTGGTGTTGGGGCTGCGGAACGGTGCTCAGTCATCGCACTTGCCCACGAGGAGGAAATCGAGACGACCTCTTTTAATTTCTTATTTGGTACTTTGTTCTGGTGGCTGCCAACTGAGTGCCATTTATGGTGCGGATGCGCTTTGGCATATAGATGACATGATTGGTTCGTCCCTGACGTTAGAAACGGTGGGGTACGCGGTCCTCTTCACTCACCCACACATTATTGCGTCTCATCTGATATAGCGAAAAGGGGTGGTACACTGCTGCGTTTATCTTGAGCATGAAGGAGCAGCAGCTTTTTGTGCGGCGCGCAGGGAGGACTCGGTGGCAGTGTGTTTGCTGCTGTCGTTGTATTGGATGTCGATTTCTGGTAGCAAGAATGGATGTAGACAAGTCTTCGTAGCGGTCCTGGCCAACCTTCTCAATTTTCCGAATACAAGTGATGGCGTGTAGAGGTTTTGCGTGGGTTTTCGTTTTTTGTGCTTGTTGCGTTCCTTGTTGCTTTTCCTGCTATAATAGCCTACTATTATACTGTGGTACGTACTGTTGTTTGTTTAGAAATGAATGTTGGTTTTGAGATTTTCTTGTGGGATCGGTTGCTCCGACCGAATACAATAATAACGTTCGTTCGAATGTGGGTGTTTCTCGAACGGGTAGTCTCTCTGTGTGTGTACTTACTTTTCTTAATAACGTTCGTTGCATACACTAAGAATGATGACGGGGTGTCTTCGATTATTCATGTAGGATCGATCATCATGTTCCATCAGGAATGAATGCAGTGTTGGTCGGTTCAGATGACTGTGATGCACATATATATGCATAGTCTACACTTGCAGGTCCACCCCTTGTGCTTCATGATCTGCACGTGGTAGTTTTAGGATCACGAGGTACTACGTCCAGTCCTCCTGGTGTGTAAGTGTGGAGAACATCTCGAATAGGCTGGAAAAAGCTTGAAAGAAAAAGGTTCAACTACGAGGAGGTATACTACTCAATCAAGGGGAACGTGCTCAATCAAGTTCTTGGTGCGAAACTTTCGTGACGCCCGCAGGCGGTTGGACTTGCAGGGTTGGCTTGTAACCTGGACACCTGGACCCTTTTTTGTGTGCATCGAAGATGCAATGACAAACAAACAAACGTACACACACACCTCGAGCACTTTTTAAAATATAGGCCTATTAGACTATAATACGTGTGTAGTATGAAACCGAACAAATAAACCTTCTACTCGAGTTGGCTCGAGGCTAAGAAGCTTGGAAGTATGCTCTGGATACTGCTGTGTCAATGTACAACAAGCTCTTTCGTGTGACGCGTTCAGCAACAGACCCAGAACGTTCGAAGGTCGCAATTGGTCTCGCCGTTTTGGCATCGCATCTCGGTTGCTTGTGTGTTTCATTCTCATATATATGCTTTCGACCTTGCCCGTGGGGGGGCTATTGTGCGCCCGGCCGGACTGCTTCGTTCACTTTGGGAATGGCTACTCCTATATATATGTTATTCTATAGAACGGCAGCAGCAGTAACAGCTACTCTAGAGCAAGTTGTCCTCACTTATTTTTTTGCGCGACCTTGGGGTTGCCGAAGCAGCTGCTCTATCTTCTTCTTTTGCTGCGATGCGCTCACTCGGTACAGTATATTATATTATTTATCGACACACACACGCATTATTATTGCGCCACGGACAATTACACCACGACACTGAGTCTACTGCTGCATGCGCACCTTTTTTTATCGACAATGTAATCCACATTTCAGTTCGGATTCCGGTCGACGTCGCTGAACGTTCATTGCAAGGACTTCAACGCACCTCCTTTTAGAGGCAGTCTTGAGCGGGAAACGCTCTCTAGGTACCACCGTACAAACACCATTGTAGCTTGCCAATTAAGTACGCCTCACTACATAAAGGCGGGGATGATATAACTCCAACCCCTCCCCCCATCCATGTTTTTTTTTTGTTCAAGGGGAAGCAAGTGCGCGTTGCCTCCAACGCACAGACGAATGACCGAGCTGCTGCTGAACATGTCGCTGGATCAGATCGGCAGCCGTGGCGGGGGTGGTGGTGGCTTCAGAGGAGGGGCGCGCGTGAGGGAGGGCGGAGGGATGAGGAGCGAGGTCGTTTCTCGGCCGCAGTCCCAGGTCTCGCGGCCGCAGTCTTCTGTGGCCGGCAATTTCGCTGCCCGCGCTCTTTCTTCTGGTTCAGGCCCGATGCGTCGGCAGGGGATTTCCCGTGTCGCGAGAGAGACGGCGGCGCCTTACCAACGACCCACGCGCCCTGCGGACGGCGTGCATTCTCGCCTTGGTGAGCGGGCTTTGACCGCGCTTGATCTTGTTGGTGCACACAGCCAGGGATTTGTGCCAAATCGGAGATATAGCTAGCAAGCAGGTTTGGCACGAAAAGGATCGGGGGGTCGACGGGTTGGTGTCAGGGGTAGCTGCTGCTGTTTCGGCCCCGTTGATACTGTTTTTTGTTGCTCTGTGCGGGTGTGTGCGAAGAGTGGCACGCCATGCCTTCACATCTTGTCCGGCAGCCGCTTTGTTGCTTCGTTGCCTTTTTTTTTTTTCTCCCGCCAACCCCCTCCCAGCTGCGGCTGACCCGCACGCGGACCAAAGAAAAGCACACGGTTCTCTCAAAAGCTAGCTGGCATAGCGTAGGGCGGATACTTACGTAGCCTCCATCTTTGTGGTCCTAGGGTACCACGCTCTCTACTCACCCTGTGCTAGCTGATTTGGGTCATTCTAAGAGGGTGGGTCCAAAACACGGTTTAGCGGCAGTTCCTGTCTCTAATTTTTCGATATTTTCAGAGGTACAGTAGGGGGCCCGCTATAGTGCCGGTTGAATACTGCCGGTGCCCGCTATAGTGCCGCTTTTCCCTCTGGACACTACCCGGCACTATAGCGGGCCCCCTACTGTACCTCTTGACGGATTTTCATCAGAGGTGTAGGGATACTCGGCTACACTGCTGTTTTCATCGATTTTGGGGAACGCATGTTATGTCCTTGCGTTCAGAGTGCTTCGCATCGAGTATTTGGCGACTCTTGCCGGCCGACCATGAACCGTCTTAGACGAGATGAGAATTTCTAGCCATGACTCACCCGATTGCTTCTCTACAGCAGTCCCTCTGTTGAGCCGGTACTCTTGTATTTGCCCAGAAAATTCGCCGGCGCTAAACCGGAAACCGCACTATTCTTCATTAAATAGTAGAAACGACCTTTGGTTGTAGTTCAGTTTTTTCCCGCCGAACCACCGGCACTAAACAGGGACCAGTACCAGTATCACATGGCTGATGGCCAGGCAATTTTGGTAACTGCCTTGTACGAGGACAGCAGTAGTTTATCGAAGGTTTTGCCTCACGAGCTTGCGAAAGAACCCCTTGGAAGCAAAACAGTACAAAGATAACTCTCTCAGTTGCGACGGCACAGCATTTTCAAGTTGGGCCAAAATCAAGGCAGTTTATAAATTGTTTATAGAGAAGAGTGCGTTGGCAGTTTAGGGGCCAGGTAGTGCGTGAAGGTCGGATAGAGCCCACATCAGCAAATATCTACTGTTGTGGTGCTGGTGAACTCTCGTCTTCTCAAGAAGGGTTAGCATTCGCACGTTGTCGTCTACTGCTGTGCATGCCTCCGAAGGATTGTTAACCTACAGCGGCATCGTATGCGTAGAGGTTCCCAGTTTTCTGGCCGTTCTTGAGGTCAAGAGGAAACACCGTTTTTTTTGTCTTACATCGGGCACTCGGTACTTACCAGAATATGAGACCACTTATAGAAGGGAGCTATTTGCATGTACCTATCCAGGGTTTCAGATGTCAAGTCACCAAGCCACTGCCCTGATACGCTAAACTGTCGTGTACCCAAGATGACAGCCATGAGCGTCGGCGATCACTTGAGCAGCCAGGGCAATGTTGAATACGAAACTCTGGAGCTACCAAAGGGAGGCGGTGTGGTTGGTCGGCCATTCGAGAGGGCATTTGGCGTGCTTGAACTCAACTACAGTTAATACTGTTGGCCGTGCCGGGCTTCGATGGTAGTTTGTTGCGGCAGGGGGGGGTGGGTATTATTGCTACACCATCATCACCCGACCCACTACAACTTGCATGTGTTCCAGACGGCCATTATTTCGGGTTGGCAAATGTCGTGGGGTAGGTGCCTGCCTTCTCTCTTCCGCCGTTTGGCACAATCTGTTCGTCTCTCTTCTCGGCCGTACATGCCACCCATCGACAGCAATAATAGTAACAACAACGGGAACAGCAAAAGTAACGGCGTCACCATTGAGTGACCCGGCCCTCTGCTGCTGGTCTTTCCTCTCCCCCACTCAGGCGACCCGGTGGTGGCTGGCACCCGCGTCCACGTAGGCGGGCTGAACTTCGACGTCATGGACGAAGACATCAAGGAGCTTTTTGCCGGCGTTGGAGACCTGCTGCACTGCAAGGTTCGATACGTGCTTGTTTTCATGGGGCTGTTGGCTCTTGTGTGTTTTCTTGCTTGTCTGATTCTCTGAGGCCGTTGTCGTCTCGCGTGGTTTTGTTGGTCGTTTTTGTGGTGGTAATTGTGTTGTTGGTGATGTTGCTGACTCCTCCTTCTGCCCGCAGCACGTACGCGAAAGAAATGGGAAATGTTGTCAGACAAGGTTGTTGTACACACCGCCGTAGAGCGCGATTTCTATTTGGATGTTAATCCTTTGCTGTTCCACCCGATCCGCAAAATTGGCATTGCCAAGACGAGGCAATACGATAGATACAGCACCCAGAATCCCATGATATGTAGGAATGGCGCTTGTCTCGAGAGAACCATGTGTAGTCTCCACCAACGTCCGATCACTTTGTCTTTGAGGTTCACAGGTACTAGTTAATACAGTAGAGCCTACCTGACGAAATCACACCGCGCAACGTACCCAAACGAAGTCTCTACGATGACCTACCAGCCAAGCGACATTTTAGGTGCACGGTACAGGGGTTCTTGCACAAATGGCGGCGTGGCACAGGCGATTCTCGACGAACTTCGTTTCAGCAGTAAGTGCATCATCAGCAACTGATCGTGCGTGTGTCTCTGCCGAAATCTGTTTGTTTCGCGATGCAGATCGATTTCGACCGTACCGGTCGCTCCAACGGGAATGCCTTGGTGATCTTCAAGAGGAGAGAGGACGCAGAAAACGCGGTCTCCCAGTTCCACAAGCGGACTCTTGACGGCACGCCCATGATCGTGGAGATCGTGGAGGGAGGGGGGGCTACGGAATCCGCTCGAGGCGGTGTGCGGGGAAGGGGCGGCGGCGGCGGCGGCGGCGCCCCGACGTGGAGAGGTGCGTGTGTGCGTTTTTTCTTGTTTGTTAAGGAGCACCGCACGGGCTGACCAAGGAATACACGCCAGTCTCAGAGTGGCGGTTGTGTGTGCGTGTGTCTTCAAGAGATTGAAGAACAAGCTAGCTCGACGCTGGCTCTATTTTAGCACTCAAATCCAGTATGAACGAGGAGAGCAACCTTCCTGCTGTAATCAGTAGAGGACACGATGAAGAGGTGTCCTGTATGCTGGCAACTTGCCCGAACCACACGCTTTTGACAGCCGTGCTCACTGCCACGGACCGTAAACCCCTGAACGGAGGGTCGTCAGCAGTAGCTAGTGGCATCAGCTACTGCAGTCAACCCGCAGTTGAGGAGGTTGGTCAGTGGCGACGCGCACAAGCAGTACAAGGCAGTCTTGTCTAATTTGCGGAGATTGTAGGCCGCTACTACTATGCTACCCTCGATATCACCACCCAAGAAGCAGATTTGAGCGCGCAAACACACACCGCTGCTATAGGGTGTCCTCAAGTGATATAAGTAGAAGGCATAGAACCCAGTGCAAAACCGACGTTGTTTGAGCGCCTGTCGTTGTGGCTTTTCCTTGACTTGAATTTTGACTGGTGTGAATTTTTTTCTTGATTTCAAAAGAGGCGTGTGGAGGTAGACGCGTGAAACGTATGCTTAGAGCAGCCTCTACTCCCGCTCTGTGCGAGAATCAATTATTCATGTTTCTCGCGATGCCTTCCGACTGGTCTCGTGTTTCTCTTGTGCATTTTCTGGTGCTCTTGCGCTTGTTACTCTCTAAATTCTTTGCCTGCCATATAACAACCGCTAAATCAATGAAAAGACGTCAAGTGTGCGTGTGTGCGGTTGTCTTGTCTTTTTTATTACCATCGACCGCGCGAACCGGGAGACAAATGAAGACGTCGTGTCTATCTCTGTGTGTGCCTATTTCTGAGGATCAAACGAGCTATTTTGCCGTCTCGAAGTTGGATTTGTTCGGTCTCACCGATAGCTACCTTGGACGCGTTTGAGCCCGAGGTGTTCCTAACTTCCGGGGGAGGGGGCACGCGGAGGATATTCTGCAGAAAAAAAGTTCCACATACGCGTGCTTTCCTTAAATCGATGCCAACCGCGTCAGCTCTCAATTCAACCGCGTGACCATTGTAGCGGTTTATCTTTTGCTGCTGCGATGCTGCCAATATCTGGCTTTTTTTTTTTTTTTTTGTCGTTCGGTTTGCTCGCAACACACGTTCGCAGTTAGTTGGCTCCATGACGCGAATTTGTCAACCTCTTGTCAGTATTGACCCTTCCTCCTCTGATCCTGCTCACCCCCCCTTCCCGTCCCGCCCGGTTTTTTTTTGTCCATTTTTTTTTCTCTCGCTCCTCCATCAAAGAACCCCCTACGAGCACCGGAGCAGGGTACCAGAACGGTCGCGGGAACGGTGCGGGTAACGGCGTCGGAGGAGGAGCTCACCGTGGCAACAACGCTTCGGGTTCCGCCGCCGCCGCCGCCGCGCCGTCCCGCATGCCCCAGTCTCGCATCACGATGACGGGACCAGTGGCGTCGCGCCTTCAGTACCAGGTATGAGCTTGCCGAGATTTTATACAAGCCTCCTGGTGCCGAGCACCCAAAAGTAGTGCAGTTTGCCTCCTCCTCGACATTTCAGAGGAGGCTTTTGCTTGGCTGGCTTGCGAGCTTGGGCGGCGATCCTGGATTTTTGTTCTGCCTCGACCGGAAAGCAGTTGGTTGTGTTTTTTGTCTACCGTTTGTTTGTTGTTTGGTGTGTTTCAAACCACGCGGAGAAGGGGTACCCGGTACACCTCGCAACAGATTATGACGTGGTACAAGCAGAGTTTGACGTATATACGTAGGACCAAGAGAGTACTGGGAGCACGGTGATACGCTGATGGCGTCGCGATTGAGTCTTTTCAGGGAGATGGTCTGTACACGGAGCTGCGTGGCCAGTAAACAGATGGGGACCAGGGTACCGGATGAGGTGGCGGGATGTGGGATGTGGACAGGTTTCCGGTACGGTTTACGGAGCGACGTACGACGCCACCAAGAGGCCGATAAAGGGGGCTGAACGGCAAGAGGACGCCTGGGAGAGTTGACGAGGCGGGTGGACCGTGGAAACGACTCAACAATCGAGCTGCAGGAAGGGGCGGGCGGCGTAGAGAGAAACGTAGATGATATTTCACAAGGCTCGGGCAATACAAGCGCAATCTGGGAACACCCACGAACGGTACCCAAACTCCAAACTCCCATTACACACGCGCTACATCCTTTCCCGGCCTTCCTTTCGCGTACCCCCTGTTGTGTCTTTGTTCCGGCCATCGTGTCTGCCTGCTGGGCTGCATCTACTGGCGCTATCTCAAACTGCGACAATGCGCTGGACGCCCAGCAGCCCCCCCAAGCCGCGATCCCCAATGTCCGCGCCGGTCTGTTCGGCACTTCTCTGGATGACGTGGATGGCCACCACGCGGATATGGACGAGGACGTTCCTGGTAGGGACCTGGACGACTACGTCCACCCGGGGATGAATGGGTTTGGTAGTGGCGGCGGCGGCGGCGGCCGGGGGCGCGGCGGTGGCGGCGGCGGCGGAAGGGGCGGCGGTGGCGAAGACGCTGTCTTCTTCAATGTGGGTGGAGTTTTGATTGTCGTCGTCCTTGTTTGGTGTTGTTGAGGCTGTGGCTGTTGTTGATGTTGTTGCTTGGTTCTTGCGTGTTATGTTTATATTTGTGTCTGGGAGAAGAGCCGGGGCCGATTGGCGACGTTTTTTCCCTCCCTGTGTCTTGGCGCGACGAGAACAGGTCTGTGGTGTGCATACCTATAATAGCTACTTTTCCGACCGTCTTGTTTGCGATCGAGAGCAACAATGTCTTGACTCGTCGGCGCAACAAGAGTGGCAGCGCTTCGGCCGAGCCTCATTACCCCGCCCTGGCACTCCTTATTACCGCCGTCGTTTTTTCCGCACGGGGTACCCAAAAGCTGATGATTTGAGTCACGCATTGGTACCGTCGACGTATCAGACACCCGGTCAAGTGGTGCGTATCTTGTTGTTCGTTGCGTATATTGTCGAGAGTACGAATAGGCGCACGCCCGGTATCGATTGCATCTTGTGTGTCCGGCAACGTCGCGGACTGGACGAAGCCTGCAGCTGTGACTATTTTCGGCTAGGGCCAACGGGTGTGCCTCATGTGTGTTGTAAAAGGATGCGGTTTCAAGGCATTGTCTGGCCGGGTTGAGTGACGTCATGTCTCCGTACGACCACCGGCGTTGGGTGGTTGTTGCCGAGCGGTTGTTCTCGAGAAAGCTCCTGATGGACTCTGAGAGCCGGGCTCGAAAGGAGTTGCCCGGCGATAGGACGGCGTTAGCGTCTCCCCGGCCGAAAAAGACAAGCAAACGAGAGGGGGACAAGTCGCAACGCGACGCGCGGTGTTCTGTTTTGGTTGTCTTGACTCCATGATAAGTCAATTATCGAGCAGACGTTTTTTGTATACATTTGGTTCATCACTCTATGCCTTGCACCCAACTTCCTCACACCACGATCCTATTCTCTTTGGCGACGGTGTGCATACTTCCTCCTTCTCCTAGCGTGTACGTGCTTGCTGCTTTTTCGATTATCGTTTTTTTTTACGAGCCGTACACGGGCACTGCTGCGTAATCTGTGTTGTCCGTACATGCGCGCTCCGGTAAGGTGACCCTCCACGGCAAGACGGGCGGAGGAGGAGGAGGAGGACGAGGGTTTGGTGGCGGCGGTGGCGGTGGCGGCGGCGGCGGCGGCGGTACTGGTACCTTCCGCAAGAACGGCAACAGTTCCGGCGGTGGAGGAGGTGGCGGCAACTCATTCCTTTCTCGTACCACCGGTGGAAGGAGCGGGGGCGGCGGTGGAGGCGGGGGCGGGGGCGGAGGAGGAGGTGGAGGGTTCCGGAGCGGCGGGGGTGGGGGCGGCGGTGGCAGCGGCAGTAGCCGGGGAGGTGGTGGGGGCGGCAGCGGGGGCGGCGGAAAGGGTAACCGTGGAAGAAACAAAGGCAGGGGAGGCAAGGGAGGTGGAGGAGGAGGAGGAGGCGGAGGAGATGCCGTGTCGACAATGGATTTGGACGCTCAGTTGGAGGCGCACATGGCCAAACGGTAGATCTCTGACACATGGGGTTGGTTGGTAAGTCGCAAGGTGACTTTTGTTTTTGTTGTTGACGGTGTTTTGGCGTTTGGTAAGTCTTTGTTCAAAACGGGGGGGTCGTAGGATGAGGGGGGTAGAGGGGGGAGATGGCGTCACTCTCTGAATCACGCGTGATCGTACATAAGTTTGCACGTATTTCCGTTGACGCCTTCCTTTACCCTAGCACCCCCGCCCATCTGGGAGAAAGACACACCACGGCCGGCGGGTTGTCGGCGACTGGGAAGACATGCAGGCGTTTCTTGCGTGCGGAAAGCGTGGGTGTGGAGGGAGGCGACCTTGTCCCGAGGTATTTGTGGCTAGGGTAGTCGCAGGAACAGGGGATGTGTCATTCAAGGCGTGGGTAGTGTGTGCGTGTCTTCGGTGTAGTTGCATGGCCGCCCGTCGCAGCCGGGAAAGAGCAATATACGAAAGTCTCCGTGGCGGCCTTGCAAATGGCTGGAGGCATTTTTGTCTTTGGGATGGCAGAGGGTGGTCCACACTGGAGGTTCGAGGGCGGATTTGCGCCATGTTGTGTGCCCTTGTTCACATTCTCGTCGGTGGGCCCCCCGGGGGGGGGAGGGGGGGGGTCGTTTTCGTCGAAAGGCCCTTCATCGTCGTTTGGTGGGGGGCAACACAAGCATGTTAATTGAAAAGGTTGCCTATTCGCATCGATGCAAGGTGCATTTTGGTAGTGCCACATCATATACTTGTTTTGTCGTTCGTGTTGTTCATTTTTTTTGTTTCTCCCACGTATCTTTTGTTTTTGGCAACAGACAAAACTATTTTGGAAAGTCGAAATGATCATCAACATGTTTCACTCGCGGAAATCGCGGCCAATTCACGCTTGCACAGGTCTTGTGTGTTGCGCGTTGACGTTCGCGTCGACCGCATTGCCTTCTCGACAACCCAAAAGAGGCAGGTCATGATAACGGGCGAGTGTTGTCTTTTGTTGTTGAATCTGCTTTTTGCTTGGCCTCTGTCTTGGCCATGCGAAGCGTGCATCCATACAGCGCGACATCAGTTTTTTTTTCCGTCTCTGTTTTGGTCTACGCGCCTTGTCCTGCTCCACTACCTTGTTGCTGGTTCAGCGATTTCTGCCCTGTTTAGTGGCGCGCGGGGGGTACTGCTGTAGAATGGCAGTTCGAAACGTCGAGAGGTGTTCCGCTAGGGCCTGAACCCCAGCCTTCATGTTCTAGACTTTAGTTCACCCAGAGCGGGGGAAGGAGACGTACGACTCGGACAAAGAACATGCGACACGTGCACGCATCCTCGACTCAAGACCGGCCCGTCGAACGAACACACCTCGGGGAAAACGTCACTTGCAGGGGGTACCAGCCATGTGTTTTTGTGCTGTCGAGAGGCAACCCTGATTGTCATGACCGCTGTCCTCGGAGACAGCCTGACATCAGCCTGGAAAGCAAGAGAACAACCTCGCATGTTGCATACACGGAACGGAGAGCGCAATCCCTGACCTCGCAGTGTCTCGTGTAACGCTCTTCGTGTTATCGACGACAGCACAGGGCAAAAAAATATCTTTTTGCTCTTCTGGAGGGGTCCGACACCAGCAAAAGTCAAGAATGCCAACATAAAATCAGTAAAAATAGGGGGCGCACAAGAAAGTGCGAAGACCCAAGGAAGCTAACGTAACCCACTCCATTGGCTTTATAGTACGCCTACTACTGTGTATGCATTTCCAGTGGGCACGGGCAGCCTCGCTGTGAGCGTGGTCGTACGAGCTGCACCCCGTTGCACGTCAACGCCCCTGACTCACTCTCCCCTTCGTACAATGCTCTGTGCAAGTGGAGCCGCTTCTCGATCTCTTATCGTATTTAGGGTTCATGCAGTGCTAGACATTCTTCAGCTTGACGCTACCCCATGTCTCCGTTTATTCCCGCCCTTGCCAACGCTACCCTCGTTACACTTGGCCATCAGAAACGTCGCCGCCACCTCGTCCCAAACAGCCCACTCTACTTTCGCAGCCTGATCAACTCCGACACAGCACCATCCAAATGCTTGTACCCTGTGAAGCGAGGCATTCATCCGTCCTTTCGCCAGGCTGTCCTGCACCTCCTTGTGCAACATACGAACCCACGTCGTCTAAATCTGATAATCTGTGGTCAAGGCCTGTTCTATCTTAGCCTCCCTCACGCGTCGCCAGTGATTGTTGTTTGACCTAGGGTCGTGTGTGCGATCATTTATGTTGGTCGGCCGTGTCTACACCCCCCATTTCCCGACATAGTCCTTGCGTATGCTCGGCTGCTCGGTATGCAGTCCTTTCCCTTCGCTCCCAGCTTTCCGCATCCTTCCCATGCACAAGAAAGGAAAAAAAAACATCGGAACGAACAGCAAAGGGGAGATAAACACATTTAGCACGAAGCAGAGAAACAATGACGTAGGGCGTAATCGACCCCCTGAAGAAGGGACCTCAATTCGGGGAATGCTTGTACCAAAAAGACGCAGCATCACAGAGGGACTACATTCTACAATGCAGGTGGGAGTGCCAATAAATAGGGCACGAGAAGGAAGGGCGAAACGCGTCAAGAAAAACAACAACACACACACACACGCATACCGCATTTTTTGCTGGCACGTGACGGTGACGGATTGCTGAGGGTGAGACGGGTGCGGGGGATCTTGTCACGGTTATTCACAGGGAAACGGGTACCAGATGAAGACCAAACGCAACCATGCAGAGCAGAATACAAAGCGCCCGCCTCACCTGATGTCCCACTTGGAGTCGTCGTCGTCGAGCAGTAGATGAACCGAGAGTACAACAGCTCGGACTTGTCTCCTTGATCCTGAGGAGCTGCATTGGTCATGCCGCAAGAATCCGTCGGCCGGGGGGGTGGGAGCGACGAAGATGTCGTCAGTGACGTCCTCTGTCACAAGGGGTCGTGATTACGCGACGGAACACGAACGCAAGGCAGTCGCCAACACCCAAAAAATGTTACAACCCATTTACACCACGCTCGCGTCACGCGCCAGTGCAGCGCAGCAAGGATCGGCGTTTCAAGCACTTCCAACATCTGAACGTCCAGAAAACATGAAACAGGGCTCACCTCCCTGCATAGGGGTCCAACAAAAAATATTAAGGAATAATATAAACACACACAGAAAGACTACCCATTCGAGATATACCCACAGTCGAACGGGATGTGGTGGAGTCTTTTCAGTGAGTGGAGGGAAACCGGCTGGGTACTGGACTTATTTCGAGTCTTTTTAAGTCTATACACTGATGATTTATACCAGTGATGCCAGCTGGTGCTAAGTACAAAAACATCTGTCTGTATAGGTAACTTACATTTTACAATACATCCCCTGTAGTTCTCTACTGGGTCAACGACAAAATATCGGGGAGAAACCCTCCGTTGTGTCGTGTATTGTAAAATGTAACCTTCACAGGGGACACGGCGCAGTGTCTATTGACAGCTTGCTGGTTTATTAGACATATTAGGAATAATATTGTAAAATTCATGTGTTAAAAACATTTTGCGCGAACCGCGAAGACGAAGGGGCGGAGAGAGAGGGGAAAACAGGCGGGCGTTGATAAAAAAAATATGGATGGAGCCATCACACAGAGGCCACCACTGCCATTGTACGCGCTCACACCTCACCCGACACCACCAGTCAGACGTGTATGCAGGACTTCTGCTGTGTAGCAGCGTGTGGACGAAGCTCTCATCAATCAGCTGCGTTGGTGCTGTTGCTGCTGCTGCTGCTGCTGCTGCTGCTGTGTGGATGTGCACTACTGCTGTACTTGCTTTCCTCGCTTACGCTGCTAGCAGCAACCAAAGGGCTCCAAATAATCGCCCCAGACGCCTCCTATGTGTGCATTTGGTTGCCCTTGGCCTGCAGTGAATTCAGTGTGTACGTCTCACAGTTTCTCTGTTCAGCGGTGCATCTGCTGTGGATCAAAATATCGGCCTGCAGCAACACGAGACAGACCGCAGATTGTTTGTGTCCTTGTTTTCCCCGTTTTACGCTCCTGGCAGCAGGCAACGGGCTTCAAAAATCGCTCCCGACGCCTACTAATAGTATGATGTGGTCCTTTGGTCGTCCTTGGCCTGCAGCAGTGCAAGTCTCGTTATCTCTGTTTTGGGGGGTGCATCTGTGTGGGAAGCCCCAAGATCGGCCTGCAGATAGAAGGACAGGCAGCAGATCGACCGGTGTTGCCCCCGTCGCTTGTGTTGCCGACAACACGCAGCTGGCTCTGAAAGTCGCACCCGACGCCTCCTACGATGTGTGCCTTTGGCTGCCCTTGGCCTACAGCAGTCTCGTGTGCTGCTGTACTGGTGGTCTCGTGTGTTATCTACGTGTGTGTGTGCTGCTGCTCTGCTGCGTCGGTCTCTCGGGGGATTCCCGCTCGGCGGCGTAGCCATCAGCCAAGCATCTGTATCTGTTGTACGCATACAAAATGTCCTACAATATCGACAGGTGACTGGTGGGAGGATGGGTATCTACTTGGCTCTACCCTCGAAAACCCATACGATTTTTTGTTGGTTCTTCCGGAAAAATTGCTTTACGCGTGGGTCCGGTGCCTGAAAGAGAAGGCTATGTAATGCGCAGGTGGCCTGGGCACGGGTGCTGATGATGAACATATGAAAAACAAAGAAGCAATAACAACCAAATATAATATTTGATTGGGAAATGTATGTAGATTTGTAAGGAAGAGATACAGGTCGCAGTAGGCGCGCATGAAAACAAAAAGTTGCGCAAAAAGTTTTGAGCAAAAAGTTGCAATCTGGAGAAAAAGTTCTGCAATTTCTTCGCGACGAAGGTGGCGAACAAAAGTTGAAACGAACGGCGCAGCTTCCGGCAATCCACGTCAAGCTGCTATACCGCTACCACACACGTAGACCCTCTCCAGCTTCGATTGTGGGAAGGCCGTGATCATCGACATCTCGACGAGAACTTAACGAGATGCCTCATGAATTGTATCTGGAAGGAGGTGATACCATGAGCTGTTGGGCAACGCCAAGTTTGGCGCCGTGAGGTGCCGAATGCGCCGGGAAAAGCGTTTGTGCTGTGCTCGACCGTCAGCGGCCGCGAGCGGTTAGTTCACTATCGGGGGTTTTGACCGCCACGGGTTTGGTTATCCACCGACAACTTTCCGAAGGAGGAGGCAACAGCAATAGCAAGGCCACTCGGCGGGAGGTAGCTCTCTGCTTCATCTTTTATGCCCAAGTTTTGGTGCTGTAGGGTTTCGTGCGCGTCGGGAAAAAAGTATTGATTGACACACGTCAGAAACCCGTTGGTTCAAGTTCGCGTGGATTATGAGCTCATGGTTTCTTTTTCAGCGATAACTTTTCGAAGGAGGAGACAACAGCAACAGCAATGCCACCCGAGGGAGCTAGCCCTACCCAGCATCTTTCTGGTACGAGGATAGATGCCTTGGGGTATCGTGAGTGTGGATAAAGAAGGCTTTGCAACTACCCTCTCCCGCACGCTCTGGTCGTTTTTTTCGCGGTGTGATGCGAAAGGCGTGTGCCTGCTTCTCGTCGTTGCTAACACAAAAAACAACACCTCGGCATTCCGCTAGTCCCGTGCACAGCACTTTCTTCATCCCATAACGAGCGTGCACCAAAAGTTCCATTGACAAGAGTTCCCGGACAAAAGTTTCACCCAAACTTTAACTTTTCTCACAACTTCTTGCAAAAGAATGATATAAATCATTTGCCCACCTTCATCCACCTCATGAAGTCAACTACGTCGTTCGGACTTTCGGCTGTGGGCAGCACCTTCCACGCCACCATAACGCCTGCCGGGGTGAAGGCGCACACCATACCCGCGGTCGCCACCCCCCCTCGACCGCCAAGG